ATCCATCCGGCGAGGGGGGTATTTTTCCATTTATACGAGGATTGACGATATATATGTAGATATATTTCAATAACAATCAATCATACGATATAATAGAAGTCAGATCCTGCGCCATGAACCAACTGTATAAAGTGGCAATATGTCGATTATACAAAGAACAAAATCTATCTAATAGCTTATCAACGACATTCTATGTAGATTTTGACTGCAATGCTTGATTCGAATGTTATATATACAGTGGTTAGTAATGAAACCTAGGACATGTATTACATCCTATTTCGGACTCGTCAGTCGGATGTACCTGCATTCCAAAGTTGATGTTCACTCTAGGACTCGAACCCAATACAAATCATTTCAAATGCCATTAAGTTAGTCTTTTAGCTACCGAATCACGATAGCCACATGCTTATTCTTATTCAGAAACTGAAAATCTAACTACTAATATATTGAATATTAGTTGAGAATGTCACGAAGTTTGCAGAATGGTTCATAATTATACATATTATACATTGTTCTTTTTCATAATTATCAATCTTCATCTAAATATTGAAGACTTTAGAAAAGTTATTTTAATTAAGATCATGAATGGATGAATGTTAGATCACCATCACTGGACGACAGTTTCGTCCTGGTATAGAACTCCTCATCAGTGCGCATCCATGATCCCGCTCACGGGATTCGGACCTAGGACCTTTGATCTCGAGAACGAATGCTTTATCTCTAGAAATGGCCATCCTCTGCTTCCAGGTTTTTCATAGTGATCTAGCCTCAATTAACTCATGATCTCAACTATTGAAATTACTAGATTATAGACATAATTTATTGATAGATTCAATGTTTGTTTTGTACAGTTTGAAAGTTTATTAGCTTGGAATTAATTGATATGCAGGACAGTTAAGTATTGAATGTAAATTAAATGAAATTGTATAAATTCAAAATGACCCTAATGGAGATAATGATTTAAGCGGATATTATAATTCAATTGAAGAGGAAGACCAAAGACCACATTACACTGAGAAATGGAGACAGACATGAGGAAAATGAACAAAAAATTGGATAGAACTAGAAAGGAAGACCTAGGACAGAATGGGTTAGAGAATGCTGATCGGCGACATATGCTCCATTGGGAGTAACAGGCCTAAGTAAGTAAGTGTGATTCAGTTGTCTAGTCGAATTCATTTCTTTCTATTTTAATCTAATTTGACATTAAGATATTATGATTAACCATACTCATAAATGTAAGAATTAACATTGAATAGACAAATTTGCATTTGATTATTGAATTGAACTAGTTAAAATAAGTTATTATGTGTAAATGATATTTGACAGGCTAAACCAGATTTCTGCATGAAAGTAAACTTCACCTGCATAGCATAAGCAATCGACTAGCAGGATTTAATAGTTAAGTGAATGACATGATGGCGTTTGAAGTGAATGGTATTGGTTTAGGGTCCTAGAGTCATCATCAACTCTGGAATGTAGGCACATCCGGTTGACGAGTCTCAAATAAGACGAAACGCACATCCTGGATTCCACTGCCAACCACTATCCTTCTTTGCCTAGATTGCATGTGAATTAAGGCAATATCGAGGCAGTTCGCACATGATGCACATATACCAATAAGAGATTGATCAATTCCAGTCTTAAACAACAATGAGAAGATACAAACAAACAACACCAAGTAATTTTACTTGTACTAACTTCACTGTTAATATGTTCTTTATCATTTTATTATTATCATTACTGTTATCCATAAATTTATTGATGATTATCGTTGCGTTAAAAAGTACATATTTATTGTTGTTAAGTCAGTTAGCTACAACATGCGATCAGACATATATATGCTTCTTTAGTGAATGAATGTACTGAAACCAGAACTCTTCTTTAAACCCATCTTCTTCTTCTTCTTGTCGTTGCTGCTGTCTTGTCTTACTGGACGTTTCTAACTTACCGAATAGATTTAAAGAAGAAAGTCACATAACCGCTTGATTTATAGATAATACAGCTACTGCCGCATTACATAGTGGGTGATTAAAGCACTTCATTAATACTTACAATATCATCATGTCTATTTTTATATTCAAAGTTAACTATTACTGTGAATTGAAATATAAACTCAACCTACTGCAAGGATTACATAACTACTTTGAGCATAAATTCATTTGATGTTGTTCTACTTGTATCTTCTCATTGTTATTTAGGACTGAAATTGATTAGTCTCTTATTGGCATATGTACATCCTATGCGGATTGACTCGATATTGCCTTAATTCACAAGCTTTTTAAGCAAAGATTGATAGTGGGTAGCAGTGGAATCCAGGCTGACGTGCGTTTCGTTCTACTTGTGACTCGTCAGCTTGATTTATCTGCATCCCAGAATTAACGTTCACATCAAGATAACTCCAGTTGATGAGCCCCAAGTAGGACGAAAAGTTCATCAAACTAGATTCCACTGCTAACCACTATTCATCTTTACCTTGAGTATAACCTTAAAAAGAACCTGAATAATTCTACTTTACTTACCTGTACTTTTTTCTTGTGGTGGTATACACATGCTTTCAGCTAAACGTGGAAATTGTTGACAATGTACTATATCTGGCCAATCAAATCCAAATAATTTCATTCTAGGTAAACATGCATTACGTACTTGATTACATAATTCCCAACATGGTGGTATTTTAGCTTCTTGATGACTTTTTAAACAAACTGGTGCATATAATGAACATAAAAATCGTTGAATATCAGGATGACAATCTGTATTCACTAATGCAATCCATACATTAGCTTGTTGTATAGCTTCACGTAATGATTCATGATGTAAAAAATTTGGTAATACCATACGTGAATAACCTACACTTTTACATAATGTCATATTAGGTGGAATAGTATGACAATTCCAATAAGCATATGAATTTGTATCACTTGAATATGGTAATGAAATTGATGATCCTATTGATGAAGAAGATATTTGTGTTGAAGGATTCCATTCATTATATGAATTAGAAGATAATTTTAAAAAACCACGTCCAATACAATATATATAAGGTATAAAGTATGAAATAAAAAGGATATAATTATGTAATAACAACATATTTCAATTTCGTAAGTTCAATTCTTGAATGAAGATTGCTGATGGGCAACTTTTGCTCCTTCACGAGGAGTAACAAAATGTAAGTAAGTTCAATTCTTTTCTATTTAAAGCTTTATATTAATCCACTTGAATTCATTTTATAATCCATTCCATAGAATTCAATCATCTCATGCCCAGTATAATCTAATTGTCCTAAAGTTATGTTAAATAGTAGTACTAGTAGTAGTGGTGGTAGTAGTAATAGTAGTAGAAATGTCATGTATATTATGCTTTTATCAGTAGTATGTTACAGGTTTAGGTTTAAAATTTATAAAGTGAACCAATGACTAAGTATCACTATAATCAATTATATATATACCTTTATTTTAGATAAAATCTGGAATTTGATTGGTTGAAAACATTAATTGTCTATTGACCAATCAAAAGTCAAAAACAAATAAAAAAAAGCCCAATAAATGATGTATTAACGAACAATCGTACTTATTTCAAGGTATATAAAAGAAACTCACTGATGATAATGGTGGATGTGTCGCTGAATTTCGTAGATTAGTTGAAGTTAGACATTAAAACCATTGGATGACAGCGATTTCACAGGCCAAGGGGTTAAACGCTACATGCGCAAGAGTGATAGATTCTGAGTTCGAATCTCGCAAGGTGGTGTCGTAGATGTGCACTGCTGAAGAGTCCCACAATAGGACGAAATGGTCGTTTGGTGTTTTTCAGGTTTTCCATGGTGGTTGAGTTCCAATTAACTCATGATCTCAATCATTGAAATTCATTTTAAACTTATTAATTTATAAAGTAAAAATTATGTGTAATAAGATGAGATATAAGTTATAATGTAATTGAAAAAAGGATTAAAATAGTCTTTCTTTTAATTAATGATTGAGATTTATTTGAATAGTTGAATTCATGAGTCAAGTGAAGCTAGACTATCATAGAAAACCTGGAAGGACTGGGTGGCCGTTTTGTCCTAGTATGGAACTCCTCAGCAGTATATACCAGCATCAAACAAACTCGGACCCAGTACCTTCAGTTTCACACGCGAACGCTTAACCTCTAGACCACTGATCCGGCATCCAGCAGTATTAATGTGTAACTTCAACCAATCCACGATATTCCGCGACCGTCATCCATTGTCTTCAGTGAGTTACTGCCTCTTCACAGACACGTTTGAAATCCGCCGGTCATGGCTTCTCACTTGAACTCCAGGAAATCCATTTTGAAACAAGACGCTGGTGAGCACATGATGATTATAATCAGAATACGGTTTTGTGGAGATTATAGTAGTATAATAATTGAAATAATGAGTCAATCTGTGCTAGACCATCATTGAAAGCGTGAAAGCACTAGACTACCGTCTCATCCTATTATCGGACTCTTCACGGATCGATTGAAATTAGACATTAGCATCCTTGGATTCTAGTTCAATGGTTTAGAGGTTACGTGTTTATGTGTGAGATTGAAGGTCGTGGGTTCGAGCTTTGAGCGAAAGATCGTAGTTCTAAGATGTACTATACTAGAATAAAACAGCTATCCAGTGTTTCCAGGTTTTCAATAGTAGCAATCTAGCTTATATCAACACATGAACTCAACTGTTCAAATTACTACAATCTCTTTACAAAATCCCCATTTTAATAGGAATGTAAAAAGCATTAGTTTTTTTTGTTAAATACCATATTACATATTACACTTATTACATCATCTATGATTCTTATCTTAATATATAAATTTGATTTATGATAATTACAGATTGAACGAAACATTTTAATTGAATTAAAAAGAGACAATAAACATCTGTTTAATTGTTCCAATAGAATAATCTCATTATGTTTCAATGATTATATTGGGTGTATAGTTGTAAATTAGGATTATGTAATGATAAGAAACATATTGTTATAGAGATAATCTTAATATTTGGATGACGATGGTGTTTTGCATGACGATGATGATGATGATGATGATGATGATGATGATGATGATGATGATGATGATGATGATGATGATGATGATGATGATGATGATGATGATGATGATGATGATGATGATGATGATGATGATGATGATGATGATGATGATGATGATGATGATGATGATGATGATGATTGCAATATGTCAGCACTGTCCAATGCTTCCAGGTTTTCCATGGTGGTCTAACTTCAAATGACTCACCAATTCAACTATTGAATGAAGTATTAATAAAGGGGACTTAATGTGGTGTGTGCTTCTTATATCGATAAAAGTAGCATATAACGCTAGTCAGGAACAGAATGTCTGGCAACAGAAGGTTGATAAGATCGAGGAGGGAAGAATGGGAACAGAAAGCAATTGATATGAAAATGTAGGAACAATGAAGTCTGAGACAGTTAATGAACATTTTGCAAATGAAATATTGGTGTATGTCTTAAAAAGTAACTCTGTAATTTTGTGCTAAATATAATCGGGTGTCTTCACCAGCGTTCTCCTTTACTACAATAATACTATCTTAATTAATCCTAGTTTAGGATTATCTAGTAAGTTATACATATAATCTAGAACATTTAGTTCAGCTGAAGTGTGGTGGTTCTCATTTATAAATTTAGTTCTTGATAACAACTTAACTAAGATTCAAAACTCTTCATAAAATCCACTCTTAGTTTTGTGGTATGTACTACTGATATCTACAGATATAAGTAGTATGTAACAGCAATCAAAAATGAAATTTCCAGCGGTAAGAGGTTAAGCACATTGATGAAAAGAGAATGAGAACAGAGAATGATGATGTGGGAATGAAAGAACAATAAAATTTGAGAGGGCTGATGAATATTATACAAATGAATAGTTTACTATTTAATTCTTAGTTTTTACTAAGATGTTCTATTGAAGTGTTTGCTGATGATGCCATTCAGAAGAATAATGAAAGCTCCACAACTAAACCATCCAGCCCAGAGAACAAAACTCCATCAAAACTAAGACGTTCGGGGCTAATAGATGAATCCAGGTGAAACCTGTTTTGTCTTTTTCTTACTGATTAGTATCAGAATGGGTTTTGTGGTTATCATAGTAATTTAAATAGTTGAGATCATGAGTCAATTGAAGCTAGATAACCATGAAAAACCTGGAAGCGCTGAACAGCTGTTTGGTCCTATTGTGGGACTGCTCAGCAGTGAGCCTTTACAATCTTACCTCGCGAAATCCAAACCCAGGACCTATCAGTCTCACACGCGAACGCTTAACCTCTATACCACTGAAGTTACTGGCATTCAACAGTGGTAATATCTTGTTTGTCTTGATACATCATTATGTATATTAATTGCATAACCTATTCAGGTGCGTTTATGAAAAGTATACCATCTTTCACTGTATAATCTACAAAAGAGTACGATCAGTGATATCATAATGGCTAACAGTTAGTATACATTGAAAACAATCAACATTATTCAAATGTTCATTCGTCAACTATTAACATATAACTGTCGATTACTCAAACATTTATCGTCAAGATCTATCAAGCGAAAGTTATTGTAATACTTTATGTTTAGAATTCTATATTTTACCAAAAAATATAATACTGAATAAAAATAATTCATAATATATGAAACATTTACAACTTTTGCTGAATGATTTCCTTGCTGGTTACCTTTAAACAATTCAATATTCAATAAAGTATCTCTTAATATGATAACATTTGGTTCTTTTTGTTGTTGATAAAACTCATTTCAAACTTTGATCGTCATCATGATCACCCAAATAATAATAATAATAATAATAATAATAATAATAATAATCCAAAGCATCATCATCAGCAGCAGCAGGAGCAGCGTCATCATCATCATCATCAGCAGCAGCAGGATCAGCAGCACCATCATCATCATCCAAAGTATCATCATCAGCAGCAGCAGCAGGAGCAGCGTCATCATCATCATCAGCAGCAGCAGCAGTAACATCATCATACAGGCTAATTTATAAAAAGAATTTACCCATAAAACTTATTGAACGCATTACAATGAAATGTTTTATGCGTATAAAGTGAATGTGTGTATGTGCGTGTGTTGTGAGTGTGTGTGAGTGAGAGAGAGAGAGAGAGGGAGAACGTGAGAACGAGCGAGACAGTAACATTAAGATTAAGAAAACTTAATTAAAAGTGAATTTATTACCAGAATTAATGATAAATTTTTATGATTAAAATTTATACATTTTTTTATTGTTGTCCAGTGTTATTCTTTCTTTTTTCTTTTCTTTTTGTCTTCTGAAATTGATTTTCCATCATGTAAATGGAAAATTTCAATAATTGAAATCATGAGTCAATTGAAGCTAGACCACCATGGAAAACTTGGAAGCACTGAATGGCCGTTTCGTCCTAGTATAAAATTCCTCAGCAGTGCACATCCACGATCCCGCACCCCGCGAAATTCGAACTCAGGGTCAATCAGTCTCGCGTCAAGCGCTTAACCAACTAGACCACTAAAATTGCCGTCATCCAATGATGTTAATGTCTAACTTCAACCAATTCACGAAGTTGCTTCAATTGGCTTATGATTTCAATCAGTGAAATTTCTAAGATCTCCACAAAACCACTTCTAGAGATAGAAAACTAAAAAAAACTTTTTTTTGTTTTTTTTTCAAGTTGATGACAGTTTTAGTTTAATGTTATACTGAATAAATTATGAATATTTTTTTAAAATGATAAATTAATAGACTAGTGACTTATTTGTTCCTAGAGAATGATTTTTTAGTTATGTGAAACTGAGCCTACAAACTTCCTGGTACGGTAGAGTGTGGGGGCAGTTCGTTCTCTCTCTCTCTCTCTCTCTCTCTCTCCCTCTCTTCAATTGCTCTCATATGGCCACGTGCATACAATCACTGACAGGAAAGTCCTACTTACTGTCTTTTCGTAATGGAAGTGTTGTTTATGAAATTGAGAGAAAGAAAAGTGAATGTTCGGCGATTTAAATGGGTTACTGGATACGGAAGTTGAATTTAAAAACCCTGATTCCAAAATATTGATGCACATGGGCTATGAGTATCTGAAGAGAATAAATGGTGAATGAACCAATTGTTGGTCACCGGCTACTATGGGACTAAATCGCCTTACATTGCTCCATTGTCTTGTAGATCAGATTCATAAAATTTATTACAATATCGACAAACACTCCCCATTCTGATAATAATTTAAATTTATTGACAAAACTAATTCATTGAATTCTTTACAATAAATAACTTATATTTACTTTAAAATAGAATATTCACACAGTGTTTAATTCATTGAATTCTTTTACCCCCTGATAAGTTCCATACATTCCATTGTTATTTTAATCATATACAATGAGAATTATACAGTATATAGGTGATCTCATTAAATAACATAAGATAACTATATAATATCTAGTTTAGGAATTCATTACTTTAATGGATAGATTCATAAGGGATATCATCAATTTATAAGTTTAGATTGATAATGATATACATTATATCATGATCGATGGTTAATAGTGGAATTTAGAATAAGTGTTTCGTCATATCTGAGATTCGTCAGTTGAATGAACATCATAAATGAAAAGTTATAAGAGAATTGTTTTGAAATTCTACGGAGAAGTGATGTGATCACAACGATAGCATTAGATGATGATAGCATCATAATGTACATAAATTGAAGCTGAAGGTAAAGATCATTATATTACAATTGAATGATCTAAACACATTGTTCTCATTACTTACTTACTTACTTAATTACTTAGGCCTGCTACCCTCAATGGAGCATAGGTCGCCAACCAGCATTCTCCAACCAACTCTGTTCTCAATCTTCCTTTCTACTACAATCCAATTGCTGTTCATTCTTCGCACGTCTGTCTCCATTTTTCGAATTAATGTGTACTTTGGTCCTCTCTTCTCATTCGGCGTTGGATTCCAAGTGAGGGCTTGCCCAGTGATTCAGTTGTGTGCTTTCCTCAATATGTGTCCTATCTACTTCCAGCACTTCTTCCTCATTTCTTCCTTCGCTTGAATCTGGTTTGTTCTCTCCCATAGTAGATTGTTTCTGATAGTGTCTTGCCAGCGGACCCGAGGTTTTTTGTGTAGACATCTGTGAATAAACACTTGTATCTTCTGGGTGATGACTTTCGTAGTTCTCGAGGTTTCCACCTCATACAAAAGAACTGTCTTTTTGTATTGAAAATTCTGACTTTGGTGTTGTTTGATAGACAGTTGTTTTGAGTTTCAGATGTTCTTCAATTGTGGATATGCTGCTCTTGTTTTGTCGATCCGCGCTTTCACATCTGCATCAGATCCACCCTATTCATCAATGATATTGTCCATATATGTGAACTTTTTTACATCTGCCAAATATTCTCCATCATTCGACTGATGCGTGTTGTGTTGCATCGGAGAATCTTTCTTTCTCCTTTGTATATGTTGAGACCTACTGCTGTTGAGGCTGCTGATACACTGGTCGTCTTCTTCTGCATTTGTTGTTGCGTGTGAGATAGAAGAGCCAGGTCATCTGCGAAGTATTGACCATCTTACACGAGATGGGATCTTGGATGCGCACTGCTGAGGAATCCCACAATGAGATCAATCGGCCATCCAGTGACTCCGGTTTTTCCATGATGCTCTTGCTTCAATTGACCCATAATCTCAACTATTAAAATTAATATAATGTATTCATTATATGCCATAAATTGTTCTACAGTATTGTTTCACGTGAATATATTTCAGCAATCGTAATCTAATAATAAGTTGATGAGATCTATACTCTCCTTCTCATCCTCCTCCTCCTCCTCAGAATAGTTCAATCTTGTTTTTGTTAAGGTTTAAAACATAATCTCATTTTTAAAACCAAAGTAAATGGAACAGGTTTTGAACCAGCAATACAGAAACTCAAAGTCAAATGCATTTACTACTATTTTACCGCTCATTTGATGTAACATTGTCAAGTACATATAATTCGATGTATCGAAATTCTCCCGATAACAAGAAACATATTTTCAATAATCTCCGGAATTCTATAGCTTTCCATACCATGAACCATTTTTAACTTGTTTCAAGTATCTATAGCCGAGCTCATATATAATCACAATTGACTGATCACTCGGTGGTGATCAATGCGATGTATGACTGGTCCTTCTTTAGTGCAGATCGTATGCTATCGACGAAATTGCAATGTGGCCAC